ATTTTAAGTAACCTAGAGATGATTTAAAGTAATAAGAGAGGATGTGTGCAGGTATATGCAAATACTGCCCCATTTATGTGAGGGATTTGGGCATCATGGATTTTGGTATCTGTGTGGGGAGGAGGTTCCTAGAACCAGTGTTCCTGTTTCCTGCTCCCCCCGTTCCCGCCCCTGCCATGGATATCAAGGGGACTCCGATTAAGAACTTACATTTGTTGGATTGATTTTAAGTATTGAGATCGGGGAAGGGTACAATCATAAACAGTTCTGACCATAAGTTGAAAGTGGGGGAAAAGAGTCATATATGAATTTTAAATGGCCAATTAGAACTTTTGTGAAGGAGTGGTCTGAGCCTTGACGGCACGACTGTCTTTTCTGAAGGAGAGAATGTTCTGGGGCATCACACTGCCTGGCTTTCTGCCCACCTGCTAAACACTCGGCGAACGCCCTGCGGGCTTGCGTGCTGGTATTTGCCGTGGGGCCTGCCCGTCGCTTAGGGCACCACATACCTTGGCAGCTCTCCCAGCGTGTTTTACTGCAGTGAATAAACATTCAGTTTAAGGGAAGTGTTTTGTTATTCTGCTTTATGAAGGAAGTCAGGTAAGGAAACAAAAATTCTCAATTACTTAATGCATTTCATAGTTCACTGTGTGGCTAGAAGCAGCCTCTGTCCTTTCCTACTCGTTTTCCTCAAACTAGATGCGAACTTCTGAGAAGGATTAAAGGCTGAGGCATAAGCTTATTAAACTTTGCTAAATATATGAAGGTTTATCATAAAGAAAATGGAAACGTGTCAGTTTTAATACCTTGGATGACTAAGCAAGACAATATAGACTTTAATGGAAGCAGAATAGATTTAGGTTAGATGTAAGGAAGAGAACTTGACAGATTCATTCTTTTATGTATTAGGCAGCAAATGCTTTGACAAAATTAATTTATGTTTATGAGTGTGGATAGTGGTGTGTCATTTCAGCGCAGCCAGCAGGTAGTAAGTGTTCACTGTGTATCTGGCAGCGGCCGTGAGAGGCAGTGGGCGTTCCCCGCTCACAGGGAAAGAAGCCGAAGGGGGAGTATTTGGAGACATTGGCCCAGGGACTCAGAGCAATGGTGGAGCCAAGGTTTGAACCCAACCCTTCTGACTCCAGGCCTCTTATTTCTGTTGCTTGGAGCTGAATTAACCTAATTTTTCTTTCTTCTTAATCAGGACCTTTTCCTGTGGTCAGCCTAGCATTTAAGGCCGTGAAGCCCCACGCCACTCCTGCCCCCTCGCCGCCATCCATATATACCCGACGCCCCAGGACTCTCCTTCCACTTCTGTAAACTCCGTGCTGCCTAACTCTGTGGCCTTATTTAGTATTTATTCTTTGAATTAAGAGAATGAATGCAATGAATGAATTTAAAATTTTCATAAATAATGCCTTGCATTACTAATCTTCATCATTTCCTCTTGTCCACAGTAACATAATCTCCTGATTGGTTATCAATAAGACAGGTTCCTTCTTTGATCTACCTTTTTAGCTTTATGTAGAAAAACATCGGGAAATATTTCTTTCAATGAATAATATTGTCCGGTAGGAAACTGGGGTTTTTTGTTATAATTTTATAATGCTTTGTAGTCCTCTTTGGCCTTTGAAGGAGCGTCAGTCCTACTTATATTTAATACTAGATGATTTGAAGTATATTAAATATCCCTATGTAATATATATATTTTATTATTAATATTATATATAAAATTCTATTGACTGGTTTATGGTTCCTAAATCCAGCTGCCCATTAGAATCATGAGGATTTTAAAAATATAGACTTCCAGTCTCACTCTAGATCTGCTGAACCGGAGTTAGGATAGGGGTAGAGGCAGGAAGCAGGAATTTCTTTCAATAGGCTCCCTAGATAATCCTTAATTATAGACAGTTTTGGAATCTCCAATACAGAGTGACCACGTTGATTATAAGAGAAGAAAAAAACAAAGCCAAGATCTCTTTGTATGGTAGGGACAGGCTAGTTTTCATATCATAGTTGTCTGAGTTCCTGGATCTTCCTGGGTGCACGGCTTGTTTTTTTTGGCAAAGAAGAATAAGCGGGGGTGGGGGGGAGAGAGCGAGAGAGAGATGCACCATTTGTTGTTGTTTTTTTTTGGCAAAGAAGAATAAGGAGAGAGAGAGAGAGTGTGTGTGTGTGTGTATGAGGTTTATGGAGTACTGTAGGGCATTTTATAAAAACTAGGGAAACCTTATTGCCCAGCATCTAGTCTCCAATCTTTCATCTGGGCAGTTAGCTCTTTTGTTTTGGTTTTGTTTCAGAGAACTGAACTTGAACTCTCTTCTATTTCTAATAATGAGATTGTGGCAATTATATTAATTCTCTTACCAAACTAGAAAATCCATATTTGGGTGTATGAAACCATCTCTGGAAAGCACAAGACTCAGCGTGTATGTTACTCTTTCAGCCAGGCTGCCTTTTCTTCCGTAGTCTGCTCAGTTCTTACGGCTGTTTCTGGAGTCCGGCTCCAGTCTGTCCTTGCTTACCTCCCATGAGAGTGGATGTTAACTGGGTGCAGACATTGAGTGTTTGCCATCTTTTGCCTGTAATTTTATTCTTTAATTCGAATACTTCACATTGGTTGAAATATGGCTTTGCGGGGTACCAAGGATACGACTGCTTGGCCTGGACCATTGTCTCTAGTCTTTGGCCTCTGGTATTGAGGAACTGATTTGGCAAGTCAACTCCATTCTCCTGTCGGAGGAAAATAAAGTAAGAGAGAGGAGAGGGCTCATGGTCTAATAGGTATTTTTATTAGAAAATGGTGATTATACTTCCTAGTTTTCTGCCATAATCCTTTTTTCTCCTCCTGTAGTGAAAACAAAAGTCCTCTTTGTGGAACAGAAAAAAATACGCTCCCTCTAAACAATGGAATGAAAATGAATTTGATTTATAAATGAGAAGACTGAGGGTGGGATCCTGATTCCGAAATTTTGCGGCCTGTAATGAAAGAAGAGGAAATGACACGGAACCACTGCCTCCTGTGATTTGAACGCCATTGTGAAGGAGAACAATGCAGTGAGAGAGAGTTCTTCATATTAGGACATAGATCACTGTATCACATTTATTTATCTTTCTGGATATTTTTATAGCCCTTAATAAAAAATATTAAAATAGCCCGTGCTATTGTCTCTTAGTGATGTTTTCCCCACTATTTAAAATTAAAAACACAACTACATTACTAAAAAATACCATTGTTTCATGTAATGAAAGAAAAATTTTCACAATGGGACTTGTGCAAGAGTTTCCAGGCTGTTCCTTCTTGTACTTCACAGAAAAGGCAGAACCTCTTTCCAGAGTGTTCTAAAAAAAAAAAAAAAATCCCATGTAATAACAGAGATGGCAAAGGTGAATGGGAATGGTAAGAAGGGAGCCAACCTCAGCCTCCTAGTACCAAAGAAACCACGAGAACTTCTCTTTGTGATTTGTGCTTATAAAATCAGGGAAAATGGCATTGGTCCTTGCTGTCACACTCAGGCTACGAAAGCTGTATCTAGATAGATCTTCTAGAACAACTTTTGACCCCTTTATCTCCTAGACTTATCTTTTTAGTGAGAGGCACTGCACTGTTACTTCCACAAAGCTGTAAGAGGAGGGCTTTGGGGCTTGATGTTACTGCACAGCTGGCCAGCTTGGAAATTCCACTGTAATCTCTAAGGGTTATTAAAGACTCCTGCCCTACCCTGGTCTGTATACTGTCTCCCTCAAGCTGTTGTTTCCTACAGATTTTCAAAATTGCCCAATTTTCTCCTTGTCAAATTCCTGGCTGATGGTAAGAAGGATCAGCTTATTTTCTGAGCTCTACTGGTTCACATCGTACTCTATTTAAAGCATTTGAGGGAGGAGGAGAGTGCGCAGCATGACCACCGGCATTGAGAAACCAATACTGTTTCAGAATAACAGGTGTTCCCTCCCCATGGCCCCATCTGTGACTCCTGAGGAAATGCAAGAGCCGCTCTCTGGAAATGGAATTAGATGTAGACAGCTGTTGAGTCTTAGAGGCTTGTGGCGTTTTAGTCAGTCAGCTATTTTATGGCATCTTTTGTTAAAGCTCTGGTTCAAAGCAATAATAGGTGAGACCTTGGCTATTTTTAGATTGAAACTATACATAATGGTGTTGGGTTACAAGAAAAACCTTTCATCTGATCCTGTTAGCTAAATACATCTAAAGGGTGTGTGCCATTCATGAATTGCCTTAAAAACAAAACTAAACAACAAAAAAAACTCTTAGTCCTGGCCAGGTAGCGTAGTTGGTTAGAGCATCAATACAACAAGTGTGTGGGTTCGATCCCTGGTCAGGACGCACGCAAGAAACAAGCAGTAAATGCATAAATACATGGAACAAGTTGATGTTTCTCTTCTCCCTCTCTCTTCCTCTCCGAAATGAATAAATAAAATTTAAAAAATAAAAAACAAAACTTGAAATCTGGCTTAACCAATGACTTGTCTATTCAGCACATAGGCTGAATGTGGTCCCCAGGCAGTTTTTACATTTTTAACAAATGAGTTGCTGACACTTAGCCATTGACAGATTTCAATAAATATCCAAAACTTCCGGCTTCTCTTGCAAAACCAGAGGCTTTGACAACACGAAAGCCAAAGCTGAGTTTCGGCTGCCCCTCTTAGGAACTGCTTGGGCAGGCCAGCCGAATGGATTCCCTTGTGTGACAGTCTCTGCTCTGACTCCACGGACGCTTGTCCACAACCCCTGCTGTGTGGGGTGCTACAGGGCTCATGATCTGTCGGCAGTGGAGTTTGCCGGTTCTTGAGTGGTGGTCCAGGTCCAGGTCATGGAATCCTTCCTTCTGGTTGGTTCTTGCATGAAAAGCAAAGAAATTAATCATGGTAAATAAAATGTAAGCTTGAGGATGACTTAGTAAATGAACATAGTATTTGCAAAGTAGGGAGAAGAGGACCTTTTATAGTAAGCTGCTAGTTAAGAGTGGTCACCCCCAAGTACGTTTTATTTGCAGGTATGTTTATTTTGGATTTCATAGCAATCAAAACAAATTGAGTGGCAGGTCTTTTTTGTATGGGTAGGATGACTGTGTTCCTGTAGCCTGGACGCTGACTGCTGCGATGCAGTTGGATCTCTTGAGCATTTCTTCCATGGGCAGACTGGGGTGGTATGCCAGGTAGAAGGCCAGAGCTCCCACGAAGCTGTCGCCAGCACCCTGTAAGTAAAAGTACAATTGTGGAGGTAAGCATGTCATCATCTTTCCTCAAACTTGTGTTTTTAAAATACTAAGTACACTTATTTTAGAGTAGCTTTAGATTTAGAAAAGTTACAAGGATTATGACAAAAGAGTTTCCATGTGCCCCACCCCTGGTTCTGTAAGCACATTACTGTGGCACGAGTGTCACAACCAAGGAAATAATAGTGATATATCATTAACTGAACTCCATATTTAGTTTGAATTTCAGAAGTTTTGCGGATGTCCTTTTTCTATTCTAAGACTTCATCCAGCATCGCATATTACACTTAACTGTCATGTCTCCTTAGGTTCCTGTAGGCTGTGGTAGTTGAGAGAGAGAGAGAGGGGGGGTGGGGGGGGAGAGAGAGAGAGATTTTTATTTTATTTATTTTTTGATGCCCTTGATAGTTTTGTGAACTGGTCGGGTATTTTGTAGGCTGTACCTTAACTGGGATTTGTCTGCTTTTCTCATAGTTAGACTGTGAGTTACACATAGGTTTTTGGGAGGGAGACCACAGAGGTGAAACGTCATTTTCATCACGTCATATCAAAAGGTACATCCAATCAACAGCACTTATCGCTGATGTTGTTCTCAGTCACTTGGCTGAGGTAGTCCCTGCAGGTTTCTCCACTCTAAGGTTACTTTCACTCCTCAGCTGCACTCTTTTGGAAGCAAGTCACTAAGTGCGGTCCACACTTAAGGGGTAGGGAGTTATTCTCTTCCTGCCTGAGGGTGGAGAATCTGCATAAATTATTTGGAATTCTCTATGGGAGATTTGTCTCTTTTCCCTCATTTATTTATTCAACTATGTATTTATATCAGTATGAACTCATGGATATTTATTCTTTGGGTTATAACCCAGTACTACATTATTTATTTTGTTGTTCAAATTGTTACAGCTTTGGCCAGTGGGGGCTCTTTCAGTTAGCTCTGTGTTCCTTGGACATACCCCCATCATTTTGTTGGTTTTTCTTTTCTTTTTTTTTTTTTGAGTACTTTCTTATTGTCTGACATAAGATGCTACAGGCTCATGCTGTATATTTTCTGTGCTAGCCCTAGAATTAGCCATTTTTGGTATTAAAAATTAACACAGGAAGTGGTGAGAGCCAGTCAGATGTTTATAGGTCACTTGAACAGAAAAGAGAGTCTAGAAATAGATCCACAGATATGTGGTCAACTTATTTTTTAACAAGGTAATTCAATGGAGGAGAGGATAGCCTTTGCAACAAATGGTGCTGGAGCAGATGGGTATTTATATGCAGAAACATGAAACTTTACCTCACACCAGACACAAAAATCAAGTCTAAATGGGCCGTAGACCTAAATGTAAGCATTAAAACAACAAAACATACAGAAGAAAATATAGGAAAAAAGCTTTTTTAACCTTGTAGATTTTCTTAGGACACCAAAACCACGAAACATTAAAAAAAATGAAAGAGTTGCACTTTATCAAAATTAAAAACTTTTGTCCTTCAAAAGAATACCAAAGGACAAACCAAAGACTGAGAGAAAATACTTGCAAAACATGTCTCTGATAAAGGATTCTTATAACTCAATAATCCAATAAAAATGGGCAAAGATTTGAACAGATACTTCAACAAGAAAGATATACAGATGGCAAATAAGGATATAAAAAGATGCTCAACAATATTAGACACTAGGAAAATGCAAATTCAAAGTAATGAGATAATACTACCTATTCATTAGAAAGGCTAAAAATAAAAGGACTGAAAAAACTGATTTAGACTAGAAATGGAACAACCGGAACTCAAACATTGTTTGTTGGAATATAAAATGATACAGACACTTTGCAAAATAGTTTGGCAGTCTCTTAAAAACATTTAACACACTTATCATACTCTTAGGTATTTATCCAAGAGAAATGAAAATATATAGCCACCTAATGTGAATGTTTATAGCAGCATTATTTTAATCATTCCAAATCTGAGACAATCCAAATGTCCTTGGACTGATGAATGGGTAAGCAAACTGTGGCATATCCATATAATGGAATATGACTTAGCGATATAAAGGACTGAACTGCTAATACAACAGTATGGATGAATTTCAAAAGCGTTACACTAAATGAAAGAAGCCAGACACAAAAGACAATATATCATATTGTATGATTTCATGTATATGAAATTCTAGAAAAGGCGAAACTATCATGATGGAAAGCAGGTCAGGGGCTGGAGACTATCAATTGCAAAGGGGCTGCTCAAGGAACTTTCTGGGATGATTGAAAGTTATATATTATGATTGAAGTGTTGGTCAAATGATTGTACACGTTTATCAAAACCTAGTTGAATCGTGCACTTAAAATGGTGTGTGAAAAAGGTAGATCAGTAATGATGATTTTTTTTAAAGGTGGGGGTGGGAGCTTTGAGTCATGCAGGAGCATGAATTTTTGAAAACCGTGGCCGTATTTCTGAGGTGCCCTGGGCTTAGTGCATGGCTGATAATAGGCTTACTGTGGGTCAGGCTTATCTAAGTGTTGTGATTGGCGTATTGGAACCTACCTGTCCTTAAATTGAGGGCCCTAATTCTCCCTTTCTTCTGCTATAAATATTTTTCTTTCTTGTGGCAGTGTGGGCTCTGAAGTCAGACAGATTTGTATTTAAATCTTGGCTTTGTCAGTAGCTTTGTGACATTGGGAAAAATTGATGTGAATTCTTTGTGACTTAGTTTTCTTATAAACAAAATGAAACTATTAACGTCTCCCTCATAGGTATTTTGTGAATCTAGCATTCCCTGCTCCTCAGTCTTCCCATCAAAATCAGTTAACAGGACTATTAACACTGTTGCTCGCTTGCTCCCTTGGTCTCCCTTGCTCTTCCTCACTCCCGCCCCACAGACGGGGGCACGTTCATGCCATAGCTGGTTCTTGCCCTGCCCTTCCCCCGCCACACCTTGTTCTGCCAAGTGCCCACACCCCCTCTCCCCCGGTTTTTGTGTGTGGTCTCAAAGCCAGTGATTGTGCCAGTTTTCGTAACCATCTCTTGCTTGCTTGTCTGCAAAACCCCTTTCCTTCCTTTCTTTAAAAGGCCCTGTTCCTGTATGTCTTCCCAGAGACAAACCCCATTTTGCCACAGCTGCTCCAAACACTTCCATCACCTCTGAGTTCACCCTAACAAGCCCCATGAAAAGAAGTTTTCTATTTTCTGTTTGCCTTTGTAGATCGGGAGGTACGATTAAATGCTTAAGTCAGCCTCACAAAGGAGGTCTGCTTGCAGTTAGGTTGACCCATTCACAAAACGGAGAAGTGATTTATCTAAGGGATAGATTCCAAAAATAGGTAAATTGTTAAGAGTCCCATTAAAATTTATTAAGAATCCACAAATCTATACTGATATTAAATAAGTCAGTGAAAAAAATAAATAATGGAGAAGGGAAAACTCATCCTTAAAGGATAATGTCAACTAGTAAATGAAGAAGTTTGAAAATCACCACTTTGCAACTATCACTGTGATTAATTCAGGCAAGAATCATCAATGGATGCATTAAAACTACTGGGTAAAGGCTTGTTGAAGGCAGAATACTTGTAAGTTTAGGAGTATTTCCCCATAGGTTATTTGTTAATTACAGAGTAAAAAAGAGTAAGTGGACAGGGGAGGAATGTGGGGGCACCACCTTGACCAGCGTGTCAACAGGAGAAACTGACACCACATGCTCCCCCATGGGGCCTTGACAAGGACGTAAGGCTACTTGTATAGTGTTCTTGTCCAAAATGCATAACCGAACTTGAGCCATGAGAAAGCATCAGACAGACTTAAGTTGAGAAAAAGTCCATAACACAGTGAGCTTGTGCTTTTAAAGAACTATCCAGAAAGACAAAAAGGTTGAGGACCTGTTTCATATTAAAGGAGCAATGTAAGAGTGAAATGCAATACACTCTCTTGGACTGGCTCCTGGACCAAAAAATTTATAAAGAACATAATTGAGCTGCATATAAGATTATTTCAGTGTCAAGTTTCCTGAATTTAATAATTATAGTTTTATGCCCTTGTTGCCAGGAGATCTATCCTGAAGTATTAAGAAGCACAGAGTCATGATATCGGCAACTTACTCTCAAATGGTTCATCATAAAAAAAAGTATATTTATGTATTTTGAGAGACAGCAATTAAACAAGTGTGGCACAATGCTAATAATTGGTGAAACTGAAGAGTACTGCAACTTTCCTAAAACTTTTAAAAAATTAAAAATCTTATTAAAAGGAGTTTTCAATAAATTTTACAAAAGTTTAAAAATCAACATCAGTCACTTTGTGAATTTTCAAATTGGCCAGCTTCAGCCTCTGGATGATTTCCCTTTTTTTCTTAATTAAGTGGACATCTACTGCAAGTTGGAGTGAACTGCATTGACGGAAGCTCTTCCCTGCATTTGGGAATACCCCGTATCATTAAGGCAGTTTCCTCTGCAGTTAAATACTAGGCAGTGATACCCACCTGAAAGTTAAGGGGACTGGGAGCAACATTCTCTGGCTGTGACAGGGACTGCAGGAAGACTGAGGTCTGGGATATTAGTGGCGGCATCATTGTAATGGCATCCAGTGTCCCATGCGAGCAACACAACCGGTCACTCTTGTCTTCAACCAAGGACCTCGACTAAGGCAACTCCACGTGTGAAACTCTCCTGAGAGGCCAGAAATCACGTGTAGCTCACTTCTTGGTGACTCCCTAGCTGGTCCTCAACAGAACTAGGTGCTTGATGATGGCTGACGGACTGACTCTCGGTTGCCTCAGTCTCCACCTTCTCACTTGCACGGGACGGAGACGGTGGCCCTGGGGGTGCAGCTCCACAGTCCCGTCACAAAGAGGGCAGCAGTTGGTCCCGAGTCCAAAACCGCAAAGAAGTGAGGAGACTCCTGGCGGATGGGCCATCAGCCCGAAGACATGAAGACCAGTACAGGCTACCTTAAGGGTCACATTACGTCACACAGTGGAAAAGGACTTTGAGATCTCAGCATGAAAAGGGTAG